ATATATATATATATATATATATATATATATATATATATATATATATATATATATATATAAAAGAAAGAATGAGTAGAATGAATGATCACAAGAGAATAAATAACGTAATTGAGCGATGGAAAAGTTTTTTGCAAATATTAACAATAAAACAAAAGGTTGTTGTTCTTTAAAGTCTTAATTACAAATAATACGAGTGAATGAACGAAAGAACTTAATTGTAGACAATGAAATTATGATGCATCGATGAGAATCAAGAGTGAACACAATACAACCACGATAAAAAAAAACGGATCTTCTTCCCTCCGCCGCCCCGACCCACTCCACTTTCCATATAAAGCTATTTCTTCTACGTTAAACTTATTGTACGATGCACGAGTTATACGAAAAAAAAAAAAAAAAAAAAAAAAAAAAAAAAAAAAGAAAGAATGAAAGAAAATAACTTTAAAACACTCCGCGTCATTTGTGGTCGTTAGAAAACAAAACTTTTTTTACGAAAGCAGTTAGTTAGTTCTTTGACTTTTTCGCTACGAATATTGGAAATATGTATGTCACGTTTGCGTATTGATTTATTTAAGCGACGTCGAGGTGTCATTTCGTTTTTACTGCAAAATAGGGATATATGAGAATGCGCGAAACGAAAAAGTCGACGAAAAATGGCAAGAAAGATAAAATAAAAATATACGCGGATTTGACGAAAAATTGAGAAAAATAAGAAATAAATTAATAAAGTTTAATGCCGGCGATAAATAAAAACCACGCAAAATGAAAATTGAAAGTGGTGAAAACAGCAACATTAATATTAATTATAATTAATAATAATAATTATAATAAATTCAATATTTGTACAATAATCAACGGTGCTGTGGTGTATGAATTGCCGCAGAGATCTTTATCTAAATCGTTTCACCCATCCTCTTTTTGGTTATACTTTTTAATATGCACAAATTGTTTATTCTTTGATACTTTAAGACTAGTTTCACATTGTTTCGTTTATCATTACAGAAATTTACATTCGTTCGAAGCGATTAGCAAACATTTTGTATTTCGTTTATTTTTTTTCCTCATTTCATTTCTTTATGCTCTTTTTCACTTTCTTAAATATAATCTAAAAACGAGGTAAACGCCGAAGCAACATTTTTAGACGTTAATTTTTTATTTTTATAAAAAATAAGTCACTGATCTTCGCACAGGGTACGCTCGGCTTCTGGTTTTCCGACGATGCTCTCCTCCTACTCCCTCCCCCCCCCTCTCCTGACCCCTTTTTTTTGGTTTGGTTTTGTTTTCTCTTTTTTTTTTTTTTTTTTTTTTTTTTTTGTTGTTGTTGTTTTGTTTTGTTTTTCCTTCAATCGCCATTTATATCATTTATCATGATTATCATTGTTGTTGTTGTTGTTGTTCTTTTTTGTTATTATTACTATTATTATTATTACTACTATTATTACTATTATTATTACTATTATTGTTATTGTTGTTGTTGTTGTTGTTATTATTATTATTATTATTATTATTATTATTAGCAGTATTGTTATTGTTATTTTAGTTCCGTAATTGTCGTTATCTGGGAGTGGAAACCAAACGTGTAAAAATTTCACTTTGACAAAGTCCGGCCTTAGCGGGAGTTGGGCCTCTCGGGCATCATTCGCCGGAGGCTCTTTTTTTTTTTTTTTTTTTTTTTTTTTTTTTTTTTTTTTACTGTTTTCGTTGTAAGCTCGTCCCGAGTCGAATAACGGGTATTCGGCAGCACTGTGGCGATGTGACTGTATCCATCATGGCAAAGTTCGTATTTTGTCACGTCAATGAGCCACCGTGAACCCTCATGTGCCTGTTGAGGTTACCGCTCTGGCTGAATCTCAGCAAGCACAGCTTGCACTGATAAGGCTTTTCGCCCGAGTGGATCCGTAAATGCTTCGTCAAAGTCGAGCTGTCGGAGAAGGCCTTCTTGCAGAATCGACACCTGTGGAGTAGACCAACCAGACGTTTTTAATGCAAATTTTCATAGAATTTTCATAGAATTTGAGCGCAATAGGCAGCCAGCCAGCCTAACTTTGGTAACTTGGCGGAAGTCTTCGCTGACCTCGAGCCCTACATTTATTCTCTCACGCCTGCCACTTGTTTATCATTATTATCGAGCGCAATTGACATTAATCGACTGTTATAATGGCAGCGGCGTGATGGATGGGCTCGCGGTTTTCTCGAGCGAATTGGAAAAGCCTTTTTGATTTTGAATGGCGGCGTTCGTTACCTGTACGGTCGCTCTCCGGAATGCGTCCTCATATGCGTCGTGACGGAGCTGCTTTGGGAGAATCTCCTGTCACACACCGGGCACCGGAAGGGCTTTTCCCCCGAGTGAGTTCTCGCGTGGGCCGTCAAGTTTGCCGCTTGGCTGAACGCTTTCGAGCAGGCGTGGCACCTATTGTCGTCGTAGAGGAAAAAGTTCCGTGTTAATTGAGTGATAATGGAGTTGAGCCGTCAACGACTAAGCGACGCCGCGAATCGTTTAAATATTCCGTTCTCACTTTTATCGGTCTCGAGCCGTTTAGCAGTTGGGTCCATGTCAATACGATAGTACATTATGTACTCTCGGTTGCATTTAAACTTTCTTAACGTGTCACTTGGAAATTTCATGTAAAATGTTGTTAAATAAATGCGCGATTGTGCTTGGATTACTTACTTACAATTATAATTTTTTTTCGAATTTCTTGTTTATGGAACGAGAGGGTTTTCTTTTCATTTTTTTTTTTTTTTTTCTAAGTATTGTCAACGTGATTTTACTTTCTCACCACGTCGTTACCTTTCAAAACTAAAACAACGATCGAGTTGTTCTCGATGCTAAATAACGACAAAATTGCACATAAAAAATGCGTTCAATTACCATTCGCACGATACAAAAGATGAGGGGGAGTGGGGGAAAAAGAAAAAAAACGAAAAATTAGGCGACAATGAAGAATGCTGTAGCAATTCCCTCGAATAATTCCAAATATTATTTTCTTAATGTTTAAAAGAGAAACAACTATGTACAACAAGCTGTGTTGTATAAATTAAATTATTACTTTCACTATATTTATATATTTATTAGCGAGCTAATTCTTAGCCGTTACTTACAATTATCGTTAAAAACTGCATAAGCGCACATTTCTATATATACATATATTATGGTATAAACGCTTTATCCTTCCCTCTTTTTTTTTTTTTTTTTTTTTTTTATTCGATTAAGATGTAATATAAAATATTTGGATGTATTTTGGATAGAAGTAAAGGTGCGGTATACTCGGATATGTGGACGTGAAGGTAAGTACTCGTATAAAATAAATTTGTTTCAATTTTACGATTATGAATAATTTAAAAAAAAATATATATATATATATATATATATATAGTCAATATTGTTAAAGATAGAACTTTGTTTTATCAAATACTTTAATCGATCAGTCAAAGTTAAACTATTTCGAATAGAATGAAATATATTAAATATATTAATTATTGATAATTATCAATGTTCGCATATTTTTGACAATATAATCCTATTTAAAGATGCTTTTATAAAAAAAAAAAATATAAAAAAAAAAAAAAAAAAAAAAAAAAAAAAAAAAAAAAAAAAGTAAATATTTATTAAAAATAAATTAAAAAATATTATCAAAATAAAAGTTACGTTATATCAAATATTGTACAAATTGTGCATTTATATTATTTTATTAGACTTTTTCTTTACTATTGGTTTTATTATAATTTATATCAATTGACTTTAATTTAATAAATGATTTATATATATACTTAGTCTTAAATTTATCAATGTGTACTCCAATTGTATTAATGTATTCTAACGTATTAACCTAATTCTATAGTGACATTATACGTTTTTATATACTTCAATTATTGTTATTTTAAATCGTGTTATTATTTTTTTTGTTTTGTTTAGAAAATCACAGCCAAGTCAATTACTATGAATATTAGATTTATTATTTTTAAATCAAAGTCGCCTATTATTTTATTGATCGATGCATAAATAAACGATAATTAAATGTCTAAATGGCATTTTCTAATTTATTTGTATTGCTGCAGTACCTTTTTATTTTTAATAAAAAATCGAGAACAGATTAAATGTAAAATACAATTAATTTTTTAGCTTTTCGAATGCTTATTGTTGAAAATTAAATTAATTTTTCGTATTAATGCCTATTTAATTGTTAACTGTTTAAGAAATTTGGACCTGAGAATTAAATATTATCCATACACATACTAAGTAAAACTAGATTTATATCCATGGATACATTAATTTCACAGATACACGATTGTGTAATGAAATTTTGTAACAATGCTTATGCAACAGTACAGTAAGGATTTTTCTGTCTTTCTCGCAAAAGATTAAGTAAAGAGTCAATTATATCTAAAATTTTGATGAATACACGAATGACAAAATAAGTTAGAATATACATGTAAGATGTTTTCTTTTTTTTTTTTTTTTTTTTTTTTTTTTTTTTTTTTTTTTTTACGAATGCTATTGAATCACGATTAATTCATAGTTTTATGTATATTAAAGCTGCTGAATGGTAATTATTCGCGATGAAATAAAGCCAAGAGAAACCAACAAATCCATTAGGTTAACATGAATTTTAAAATCATAAAACACTCGATTACCGTTCATAAGAACGTATTTACATTACAGGGAATAATATTTATGCCTTTGTGATGATTTACTATTACTTTAATACGAAAGGTTTTGATATGAGCTGACTAGCAGTGATAAATGTAGTGATTGGTGTGATTAGAACAAATTACTTGTAATTTCTGTGACGGTTAAAAACGTTAAGAGTTTTATCGCGTTATAAGTGAACCGTCTCTATTAAAATCTCATATATACAAGAAATGTTTGTTATCCTTCGTATTATCGAATTTATAATAAATTTCAAGGGCGATTTTGAAAAATATTGTTCCAACATAGGCATATAATATAATAACGAAAAAAAAGAAAGAAAGAGAGAGAGAAAATTACGTAGAAAAAGATTAAATTACATAGTAAAGATATTGAATGTTATGCAGTTGAACCGAGAGCCATTTTGTAAGTGTAAATTGAATTTGCCTATGGGATTAAAAATTGGATATCGTTTACTAGCAGAGACGTTAAATATGTTTCTGCGCAATATAGGGAATGTGCGCGTGCGTATATTGTATTTAACGAAAAGAGATAGAGAGAGAGAGAGAGAGAGAGAGAGAGAGAGAGAGAGACCTAAAGGGCTTCTCGCCGGAGTGCGTTCTAAGGTGCGTCTTCAGGGTGCTTGGCCTCGCGTACGTCTTGCCGCATATCCTGCAGAGGTTCGGCCTCGCTTGGTCGTCGTGTCCTAGCGAAGAGGGCACCTGGGTGAGGCTCGTCGTTATTCCATCGCCGCATAGCGTATGATCGGCCGTCTGCTGTTGCTGTTGTTGCTGTTGTTGCTGCTGCTGCTGCTGCTGCTGTTGTTGTTGTTGTTGTTGTTGTTGTTGTTGCTGCTGCTGCTGCTGTTGCTGCTGGTGCTGCTGCTGCTGCTGCTGCTGCTGCTGCTGCTGCTGCTGCTGTTGCTGGGGGTGAGCGGAGGTGGCGGCAGCGGCGGCGGCGGCGGCAGCGGCAGCGGCAGTCGCGAGGCTATTGGCCGCCCCCTGGTTCACCCTCTGCTGCTGCTCGACCCCGGCGTACTGGGGGGCGGGACTCAGCAGCGGCTCCACGCCCCACGCCCCCGCGTAGCTCTGCTCGTAGCCGTGGCTGCGGGAGACGAGGGCATTTTAGACGCCTACCATTCACAATCGATCGTTAATTCGTCCAACTTTCCACCCACCTACTCGAGACTTTTACCGAGATTTGGAGTTTTTACTGTGAAACCGAGTCCCCTGATTTTATTCGAAATCACGAGCATCGAAATTTGCTTTGTGGTACTTTTCATATGGTATGGGCTACGTATGATATTGAAATAAACATAAATACGATTGCCAAGCCAAGTCGACCGACGAATTTCTTTAATAACAATCACGAAAGCTCTTAGATTCGAATTACACGTAATTATAGGTAAATGAATATGGTTCATTGTAATTTCATCATAAACGGCGTAGGGAGATTAATTCATGTGAAATGCATTAATTTCACGTATTATTAACGCTAAATTATCGAATGCTGCGCACTCGTTTTAAAGACAATCGTTACGAAATTATTTGTCATTTATTCGAATATTGTTTCACGGATCAAATTTCTGCGATTATATTGATTTCATCTAACTGCTCATTTTCAACTCTCGTGTTACTTTGTCAACGTTTAACGAGCTTTCCTTAAAATTCTTAAAATAACAAAATGATGTTATTTCAACTTGCAAGGCATATGCATAAGAATATATATATATATATATATATATATATATAGAAGTGTTTTAGTTACATTAGTATTACCATCATAATGATAAACTAATAACATTATTTGTTACAATCACTTGAATATGATAAATAAATATTCGACAAAGCTATAGCTTCGTGAATGTTTATAATTTATATTTCAATGAATGTGAAAACAAGTAAGTTTCTATCCCTATATTTAATGTTAATAAATTAATTGCCGTTTATCTATCATACGCGAGTAATTTTCATAAATAAAAATTCCTATTGCTATATGCACAGTAGTCGATTGAATTTATTTTTAAGAGTTTACGTATTATTTTTCCTAGTATGCCAGCGGTGGAAAACTTTAATTACGCCAAATCCATTTTTTTTTTTTTTTTGTATGGCTTTATATATGGGATATTCAATAACAAATGTGTGTATTTATATGAACTTTAAAAAAAAAAATTGATTATTCAAGAACTTTTTTTATATATACAAAAAAAAAAGAAAGTATAGTAGGGAAAAGTATTGTTTAAAACATAAATCAAACGTGTAGATACAATTACTCGTAAAAAAAAAAACATATTTATTAATTGTCACTATATGAAAACTAATTTTTTTTTCTTTATATATTCTTAAAGCAATTATGAACGTCAAAGACATAATTCCATATTTCTGACGTTAATGCTACTTATCATCCGCATAAAATTATTATGATGTGATCAACAGTGATAAGATTCTGAAAAAAAAAATGATAACTTCGATAGTTTGTAATCGTAACTTCGTTACCGATCGACGAACTCATTATTATTTGTAAAATATGCTTAGAATTTTCGCTATTAACACAAATGATTAATTATTGATTTCGTTTAACCGCATGAACTATTGATATTTTTAAGAGGCATTATTAACGCTCTGAACCAAAGCTTTCATATAAATAATCATGGATACTGAAGTGCGCAAGTAATCTGAAGAAATTGTGTCGTTTGTTGAAATTATGTCGTACCAATTGAATGAAAAACTTAGTCTTAGTTAAATATAAAAAAGGTAATTTTTCATAAAAAAAGCTTTAGTCTCAAAATCAAATTTTGTATAAATTAACATTTCAGAATATTTTATAGTTAAATTAATTAGTTCTTAAAAGTCCAATTACTACACAATAATAATAAGGTTAATTATAATAAAAAGCATATGATATTATCAATCATCGGAGTTCTTTACGTCCCTAAATATTGTTTTTAACCATCTTCTCAAAACTCATTAAGTTATTCATGTTTTGCATTATTTGAGAGCTACCGAAGGTCAAAATGACTCGGAATAAAATTGCAGTAAAATTTATGAAAAATTTATTCAAAGTATTATAGTTTTATTTGTCCGGCGCGCGCATATAATTTATTATAAATTATACATTTTCAATACTTCAATACAGACGTGCATATTACTTTGTGATTGTTTTTTTTATTACGTATATTACAAATTAAATAAAAGAAAAAAAAAAGAAAGAGAGAGAGAGAGAGAGAGAGAGAGAGAGAGAGAGAGAAACGAATGCAATATAAAGCAATGTTATGTAAGAAATTTAATTTTACTTATTTGCTGCGCAAGCGCGCCAAAGTATATTAGACAGAAAAGCAAAATGGCCACTGCTTGGAAAAGAATGATGTGTTAATTCTATTTATATTTCTAATTATTATTGTTTTTTGTTTTTCATTTCAACGTATCTATAATTTGAGAGCTTATATTGATTGGATAGATATGGTAAGAAGAATTGATAATTTTGAAAAATCTAGCTCATTGATTAACGGAATATTGAAAGTATTGAGAAATTGTTGACATTGGAGTTTGTATTAATGAGCAGTAAATTTGTCTTTTAAAGCAATTTATGCACGTTTAGAATTAAATTTTTCATATAAATTCAATTTTTATGAATACTTGACGAATTTTTCCATTATGGTCAACGAATTAGTATCTTAGGATAATAAAATTAGTAAAATTTCAATTCTGCAATTTCATTCTTATTTAACAGTCTAATTTTTATCCCCTATTGTTTTTTCATTTAAATGTTGAAACTTTAGAGAGTTTTTGAGAATGGTCGAACCTTTGTAATATAAGAATTTCTTTCTTATAGAAGAATTTTCTGCAATTGAAAATTAGTTAAAAACCTTCAAGAATTGAAGTTATAAACTAAACGGTGTTGTTAGGCTCCTCCCTCATCATTTCAACTGATATTATAATTTTTCTTTTTAAATCCACTGTATTAAATTAGAATTATATTGACAAGACGAATTGTCATAAGCTGGCTATAAAATAGTCATTTGATGTAGTTTTTATTTACCATATTTTATTCTTATTTATTAAACATTATGATGTACATTGTAATTATGTCGTTTCTAGAACCGACGTGCAATAATCACCGAAAGACCATTTGCTTACAAATTAATGAACAATGTTGGCACGTACGGGCTGGTTATGAAAAATAAATGATCGCACAATGAGCTTTTTAAGAAATTGATTTGATGTTAATAATGAATGAAAAGAGCTTTAGTGCTCTCGATGTTCAATGCAAGTTTAAACAATAAATTTTAAGCAGTTTTTACAAAATTAACATGTAACAATAATTTAATTATTTAATTGCGTAAAGACAATAAGAAATATTATTATTTAAATTGTCTACTGGGAATTAAATTTTATTTAATAATTTTATTATTGAATTAATTAGTACTATATGAAATGTCAATAATCATAGGTAATACTCATTATGTAGATGGCATTAATAAGGTTAAGAATATTATTAACAAATTGTAATTTCAATAATATTATTATTCTGATTAATATTAGAATATAATGTTTTGTCCAGTAAATTGTCGTTAGAAATAATGGTAAATAACAAGTAATAATTAAAGCAGACTATGAAGAATATCTAAGCGCATAATAGACGTATCGGATTAAATAAAAATTTCCTCGTCTACTTCAATTTCTATTATATATATATTTATATGATATTCTCTACGATTTAAACATATTACAATAGCAATTATTTGATAATCCATGTATATTATATGAGATATTGATTTTAATCAAAGTATGAAAAATTATTAATATTAGGCAAGTCACGAATGTTACTGATTATGTTTATTTTTTTTATTTGATGTGTTTATATTTTATAAAGTCAATAGAAAGAATAATCATGGCAATGGCTCTACTTATATTAATATTATGGTATGGCAGAAACTGTCTAAATGAATTTAAAAAAAAAACATTAGAACAATACTTTTATTTTTTAAAGCTATAACGATATTTTATTGATGATGTAGAGATAGAAGAAGTGGATAAAGTTAAGAATTATTTGAAGATACGAAATACAAATTTAATATAAAAAAAAAAAAAAAAAAAAAAAAAAAAAAAAAAAAAAAAAATTCTTCATAGTTTTTATGAATTCTTTACATTATGCAGTTAATGTTAATAATTAAAAAAGTTAAAGGTTTACCATTTAAATCTTTTCAAATGTATTAATGATGTTTGCGTGAGCTTTTGACCATCGATCGTATTAAAGCACTTAATTACATACAACTAACACAAAAAGCTTATTAATCCGCGGGTAAATTGGTATTATAAAGCGAACTTCGCATTAAATTATAATCTTGTTTAATATATTAACTATATTGTTCTGCGGCTTGAAATACATTCAAAACGTCGATATTCATATAATTCAATTGTAAAGCTTGACGATTACTTTTGCTAATAGCATTTTCACGTTAAATTGGATGCAAAAGTATTAGAGAACCATAATGACAGCGAACCTTTTATTATTTATTATAAATCTAGGAAGAACTTACTTTGGCCCATTCGTGAGTTGTTCACCCGAGAGGTGAATAGGAAACCAAGTATGGGAGCACAACCATTCATCGATCGATATTCTTCCTAAGTTTCGATCTGTCGAATTGGCATGGAAACTGCCTCAATAGCAGTTAATCCGCCTATCAAAGTATTTAATTGAGTCGATTTGGCGATTACCCGTTGCCAAAACCCAACGAGCAGTGGTCAATGCTGGAGCGTCAGCCCAGCCAAGCGATCGTAAATGAGTCAACGGAAAGGAGTTTGGGCGGACGCAGGAGAACGCATCGAAAATTCCCGATAGCGTATTATCGTGGCCGCGTCGGGGTGAAATCCCCTCCGTAGGCTTGTACGTGGGCTGACACCGAGACCAGGTTCCCACCCCACCCGGAGTGGATTTCGGAGGTTAGCTGAGGCGCAGCTCCGGCCTGCCCGATCGAGCGTGAATTCGACTCGGGGAGTTGGTGCACTCCTAGAGATTCCCCGGGGAAAAGCTGGACGTTAAAAATTCAAGGCATAACAAGGACGACAGCCGCAGCCGTACCAGCAGCAGTAGCAGCGATAGCAACAATAATAACGACGATAACAACGACGACAACGCCAACGACAATGAGAATGAGGACGACGATGACGAAGACAACGATCGACGACGACGACGACGACGACGACGACGACGATGACGACGAC